GGGGGATATTAACGTGTTCTTATGCACAGTAAAATTGTAAATGGGCTGATTTATCAAGGGCATGCTCATACTGTGCCCGAACAACTTAGGGAAAATTGCTGCCTTTTCTTTTCTCTTCCTTATTATCGTCATTTTTCATTTACTTCTTTTGTATGTTTGTCACTCTCTTGTGAACTGCTCTTTCCGGGGTGCCTTGATAGTCGAAGCAGACTTTGTGCTGTCGAGGCTAGAGATGTGAGTAGAGTAAACCTGATTCCCTAGTTTGGACTTCTCTGTTGACACCCACCCCTTGAAGCTCGTATACCCTAATGCAGTTGCGAGTGCCGTAAAACCTTACTAAAACAAAGCAAAAAAAACCCACTTTACTTTCTCCTATTGTGTTCGCATGCTTGTATTATAAACACAAAACTTTCTCCTTCTTCAAAATAAATATATGGACCTATGTTCACTTTACCCTATGCCTATTTCTCCAGAATGACTATAAGAATTTATGGTCACATGACTGTCATTTCTCCATTTCCAGAAGCAGTCAGGTCAAAGTTCACCCGTGGGGTCAAAGAAGAGCTCGTCCAGGAGAGGGTCAGCTGAGGTACTGGACATTGACCAGGTATGTGACCACAACATTCCCTGGGCACTTGCTCGTCTTTTGTAGGCAACGTTAACAGTTCGGAAATTAGGCTGCTAAATATTTTTTAACATTTCCGCAACAGGTGTTTTAAAAAGATGCTAGAATTTTATTTTTTACGGGAGTAACTGACGTCGGTGGCCTAGTGGTTAAGCTTCCGGACTCGCAATCGGGGTCGGGGGTTCGAGCCGCGGGCCCGACGTTGTGTCATTGGGAAAGGCACTTTACACGAATTTTCCTCACTTTACCAAGGTAGAAATGGGTACCCGGCCATAGACAGTGAAAGATCTTGTCAGTATGTTAGTGTTTTAACGCCTATAAATGGCTGCTTGCAGTGTATGCTACCCAGGAAGTCGAGTTTGTTCCTGAATGCTCTCAGGTCTGCTGGAGTAGTAGTATAGATTGTGAAACGCATAGAGCTATATTATTGCTTGCTGTAGAGCGGGGATTTGCGCTATACACATTATGCTGTTAATTGTTATTAACTACGTGGACTGACATTTGTTTGAGTTCCGGAACGTTAATTATCTGAAAGGAAAGTTCTCCCGTTAAAGTATGCGCTACTCGCCCCAGAAAACATACGATAACCTATCATTACTGTTTCATTGCTACATTATGCATTTCAATATTCTTTGAGAACGTGTATTTTCTTTATATTACGAATGCTTTGGGTTGTGGGTTTGTTTGTTTGTTGTTGTTTTTTTGTATTTTATTATTTTTTATTTTTTTGGGGGGGGTTCTGTTTTTGTTTAGATTTGTTGTTTTTTCGGGGGGGGGGGTAGTGTGTGTAAGGGGAGGGGTAAGGAGAGAGGGAATGGTTGAAGAAGTGTGCAGGTACCGATAGTCCAGTCGTTCTTTGACTGCCACAATTACATCAACTCCATTTCCTCCCGCCAGGAGCAGGCGGGAAAATCTTTATCCCGGAAGTCATCGCGAACCTCGTCCAGGAGAGGGTCAGCCGAACGTCTGGACGCTGACCAGGTAAGGTCGGTAAAAGGAAAGTATTAACCCCCCCCCCCCCCTTTCTCCAACCTCATCAGGAGGTTCACAGTTCGATGTCTCCCGCTCCTGTAAGACATTAGTGCAACCCCACCGTGACCCCCACGTGATCACAGATGTTGCACACTAGGTCAAGCAGTATTATTATTATTATTATCATCATCATCATCATCAGTATTAGTCTGATTAGTATTATTAGTATTATTAGTAATTTTATTATTACTTGAACCCGTTAGATCAAGACTGATTCCAGCACAGTTAGTTGATGCTCTGTGTTGCTTTGTAAGGGCTGTTTATTTCGCAACTTTTGTTGACCTTTCCCTTTCTTTTGTCTAGCCATTAGTAGTACAAATGTTGTAGTAACATGGAGGAGGGGGAAGAGGAGGAGGAGGAAGAGAAAGAGGAGGAGGAGGAGGATGATGAGGAAGTGGAGGGGGAGTGTATTGTTGAATTCATCGAGCACAAGATTTTAAAAATATATCGACCGTAAATGTGAATGACCGTGGTTTAGGCCTCTTATTTATACGTAACGTTCTTGAACTTCGGGTGGGCGAACTTTTTATGGCTCTCCACCCTTCTAAATGCAAAATTTGGAGGCTAGTGACGTCATATGAGATCGTGAACCCTTTTTATGGCTCTCCACCCTCAAGATGGGTCCTAAATGCAAAATTTGGTGGCTAGGGACGTCATATGAGGTCAGGAACCCTTGCACGAACAGCTTTGTGTTCTTTGACATGTTCCTGCTAGCCCGGTTGGGCTGCTATTCGGCAACACCCGGTGCCCATTAGCAAGACAGTTTCGATTCAGCTCAGTTTTGTTCGCTCTGGTCGTCGGGACTAGCCAGGTTTTATTCCATGGAAGGAGAAAAGCTACCATCGTGGCACAAACCGAACGAAACCGACAATGACCTTCAAGAACAAACGCATTTGTTTTCAAGGCCGCGAGTCGGGCGATCGGTTTGTGGAAAGGGTCTATTTTTAGTGTGCACTGAAGTCGCCAGAAACTGAACAGAACCGAACTGATCCTCCAAAGGGCACCGCCTATAATATTTACTTGATTCATGCACTGAAAATTCACAATCCTGACCATTATGTCTCGACTAGATCAACGAGAAACTGACCGGTCAAACGTCACCTCAGAAGTTATCCCGCAGTTCCTCGAGGAGAGGCTCAGCAGAAGCCCTGGACACTGACCAGCAGGTGACCACCACGCTCGTCACGTAACTTTTTGTCCGTGCTCTTTCGCTTCATAAGAATTACAAAGTTCTAAATGCTCAGTGCCTTGTGTTGAGAAATTTGACGCTAAAAAAAGGAGTTTCACAACGCGTCAAGTTTTTTTTTTATATGCAATTCTTGATAATGACTCCGAATAATCTTACGGTTTTGATAGAGCAGATAGAACAACATTTGGTTTCCTGCCTCGTGATCTTAGTAACTCAAAAGAGCCAAAGATGTTAGACAGAACTTTGTAATTCTAAGGTAGCAAGTTCTTAGAAATCGAATCGAAGAGTACCGTGGAAGAGGTATAAGTCTAGAATATGTCCCACACTGAAGGTGCATCCTCTATGCATGTAGTCCCGCTGTTATTTTGTCTCTCCATTGTACAAGGAACAGGGGCAGTGGGTAATTTTTTTTATTTCACTCTCGCACACAGATGCAGTGCTTTTGGGGGTACAAGGACTGTATTTTTTGCTGCAGACCACATAATATTGTGGCTACTAAAACTGTCACAAGTCTTTGGTCTTCATGAAAATTCCAAACCTTATTGCAAAACATTAAATCGTGGGGAAGAAAGGAAGACGTACCCCTCCTGACCCCCCCCCCCCCCTCTTTTTTTCCTCTCACCCGAATTGGTCCAAAGAGCGGAAAATGACAACGCAATTAGGCTTTTGAGTAAATCGAATAAAGACCATTTGTGAGGCAGCGCGGTGAAATCAGGCTCTTGTCAAAATAATCAAAGTGAAGAAACTTGCATTTTTCCGCAGGTTTGTGAATTTTTATCAAATTTTGGTATTTTGGCACAACACTTTTAATGCCCATTAAAGAACTCACTTCTGTGTGGATTTTTCTGAAAAGCGTTGATTAAAGGCACAAAAATGTAAATTTTCAGTTACCACGGACTATTAAGCTTGGGAAATAACTAATCTTTGACGGCCATTTTTTCACTAATTTAACCTCTGAAAACAAGTGACCCCCACCTCCTTCTCTCGCAAATATCTCGACTTGTATTTAAGATAAATGGATATTTTTTATCCAAATAAAGACAAATGAACACGCTTTAAGATGATACCAATAACTCAATATGCCCAAAAATTGACGAGAGCCTGATTCCACCACGTTGCCTCACATTTTACCGAGGGTGCGATTTGTTATAATAATGTGGAACAACCCAAAATGTAGCGTACATATAAGGGTGGTCGCCCTTGATTTGCTTATTGGGTCAGGTTTGGGGGGCGTGATTTACTATTACGGGGGGAAAATGACATTACCCGAAGTTATAATTCATTGATGACTATGGTTTTATATCATTAGTCACAGTCCAATCTTCTTTTACTCTAGCGATGCCCAAGGTCCGACTACCCCTTAGCAGATCTTTCATTTCTTCGTAGGCAATTATAGGCCTTATAATGATATTAGTATGGTTTCCCGAGGCTACTACTGATCATGTGAATGCTTTTTCTTTTTCTATTTCTTTTTTCTTTTTTTTTGTAACTAAAAATTTCGGCCGCTCTTTCAGGAAAAAGGTCAAAGTTCATCTAGAAAGTCATCTCGGCAGTCTCTCCGGAAAGGATCAGCTGAACTGCTTGACTCTGACCAGGTGATCACTACACTCTATAACATTTCTTATTGGTCTGAGGTTTTTGTTTGTTTGTTGGGTTTTGTTTTGTTGTTTTTTATGTTGTTGTTTTTCTTGTATTCACTGAAGCTGGTATTTTCAGGTAGAAGTTAGATAAAT